ATCAATCTTCAGCACCTGCTAGAAAGATTCAGTCTTGCATGCCTTTGGCATGTTCTCGTGATGATTGCAGTGCTGTAGCCGCGGTCCAGCACAAGTTGCCCACCCACGGTGCTGCGCAAGGCCTTGGGTCAAAATGCCATCGAAATCCACCCACATGCCAACTCCGATACTCTCCGGCATGCTTCAACCCTTCCTTCCAAAGCCTCAACGATGAAGTCTGGCGCCGAATGCTTTGGCACCAAATCTGCTATACAACACCCACGAGCATTTCGTGGATTCAGCTGTGCTCCTGCAGCTATCAGAGCTGCAGCAAATTCGTAGTTCCCGGTCACTAGTGCCATCATCAAAGGGGTTCCGCCTCTCGCATGATAGAGGAATTTGCTTGCTGCTGTAACCTTGTAGAATTTGTGCTGCCAAAGCACTACTGTATACATTGTTCGCATGAGCAGTGTGCGTTTTGCTGGCTCATCTGCCGTCTGAGCATTCACGTCGGCCCTCATTGCAACCAGGCGCTGTACCACTTCAGCACCTCCCCAACTGATGGCTGCGAGATGAAGTGATGGCGTTGGATCAATCTCATCTAGAGCACCCAATATCCTCACCTGTCTGAGAAGCTCCTCCATGGCTTCGAGCCCGAGACCCCAACTGGCAGCTGTTTCTATGCAAGTGTGACCCAACGCATTCTTCTGCAGCGGGCTGCACCCGGCCTCGCAAAGCATCTGCACCGCTTCCGCGTTGTTCACGGCGGCTGCAGCGTTCAGAGGGTAGTGAATGGGGCCGCGGCTGTCGAAGGTAGCCCTCACGGAGAGCAGCAACTTCACCACTTCATTCTTTTTGAAGTAGCAGGCGATGGAAAGAGGCGGAGTTCCAGCTTCAAAGCCAAGGTTTGGATGGGCCTTCTTCGTATCTTGGTTCGGATCTGCCTCAAGTGCCAGCAGGTCCCGAACCAGCGATGGGTCCCCAACCAGGGCAGCATAATGAATGGGGAGCCATCCAGCCGCGTCCTTCGTCCTGACGGTTGCAAACCCATTCCGGTGCAAGAACGTCGAGGTAGCACTCAGATCCTCATGCTGGTCGTCCGAGCTCTCAATTTCAAGGATCGGCTCGAGGTCAGGGCCCATTCCGCTCAGTATCGTGGTCTGTTGGTTCAGCAATGCACGATAGCCTGCGAAATCCCGGGACTTCAGCAGCCTGATCAACTTGCGTTTCAGCACGGTCATCAGAACTGGTCTCAGCTTCAGGCAATCCTCCTGCACGGTGAAGGCTCCTTCGCCCACCGGCCCGGACCCAGCACGGGCAGATGCCAAGGCATCCGATACAAACTGCAGGTCCCTTGCACTCTTCACCATGATCCAGGAGGGATCGTGGGAAAGCTCTCGGGCGGTTTTCTCCAATCGACACCAACCTGACAGTCTCTCTAAGCCTTGAGGAGGGGATTCGGGCCATGATTAGGGGGTCCCTTGATTAGGGGGGTCCTTCTTGCAGACATTTTTCTGAGAGCCCACCTCGTCCTTGCCAGGTCAAAGGTGACAGCAAGGCCATTGAGCTGGGAGTCTCCAGCACGGGCACCAGCGCAAAGAAGAAGGAGCACTTGTCTACATAGGCTGGTATGCTGTTGATAGCATCAAGCTGGTGGCATGAGTCCTCCACTTTTTGTGGGATCGAGAAATAGTCGTACCAAAAGAAGAGTGGTTCCGAGAAGAGCCTGGCGGTTGGAAATGGCTTTATACTCGGATTGTTGATTTCTGAAACTATGTCCGGAGAGATGCTCTTCATCTTCGAGTCATCTTTGGCTGCCTTGAGAGCCTCTTGGAAGATCCGCATCTGCTTGGCCTCTGGGTCTGGGTGGCCCGTGCCAAGCCATTGGTGCGAGATAAACCCTATGTTGCCCATGGACTCCCTGTACTCAACCAGCACATCTCTGGCCTTCAGCTCTTCATGAGGCTCGATCGTCCTCATCTCCAGTAATGTCTCCAGTGGCACAAGGTACATTGGGAAGAGCGTGGGCACTTCGTCCTCTGGCTGCCCCCTCAGTGCTTCAGCATACTTGGCCAAGGCCGTCAAGGGTGTGAACCTGGGGCTGCAACATGCCATGGCTCGGAATCCAAGGGATGCTGTCTTGCAGCAGAAATCTCCTACTACTGGCGTCTGATATACTGACATACGTACCGTAAAAGGGAAAAGAGTGTTCAGTTCCTCAGGAAAAGTCCGGCTCGTGCCGGAACGCTCAAGCCACTCTACACTTGAAAAACCACTGTAAATCAAGGCAGCATGCCAGACTTGAAATCCATGGCTGGAGGCCGCGCGCCCTGATCTTTTGCTTCTGCAAACAACGAAGGTGAATCTGTGGAAGGCTATGCATAGAAAATCGGTTTTTGTACAGGTGACCGATATGCATGCCTGCTAAGACTTGATGTTGTGTTGTAAATCTTCTGAACATGTGCTCAAGGGAGCCTTTCGTAGCCCCTCCCTGAATGCAGCCAAGACGGAGCGAAGCGGGCGAAGACATCTGTGTTGAACCTGGCCAGGGCTTTCTTCACTCCTCCTCAATGGAGTCGCTAGGCATCCATTGCCCCTTTTCCATTCCAGGTCCTTTCACAGATGCTTCCACCGATCGATGGCCAGGGATATCCTTTCTTTCGTTCGCACATCATCCCAAGCCAAATGGACCTTGTAGTTCAAGGTCCGCTCTCTCCATAGCCACAAGACGTATTTCATCTGCTTCACAGTTGGCCTTTCATCTCCAACTTCATCTTCCAATTCTTGAAGTCGATTGGCAAGTCGTCCCACCAACTCGTGCTTGATGCCACGTTGAGTCAGATTCTCATGCCTCAGCCCAGCACGAAGCTCCTCTACTGTCGCCAAGTGAAGTAGGTCTTTGACCACTCGCTCTCTCTCGGACCTTGTGACCTCATCGTCTCTCCAAGTGGACCTTGACATCGAGCTTTGAGCACCCGGTGATCGACTCGGTTCTATAAGACTAGGCCTTCGTGGTGTGGACGGAGTCTCGGATCTGCATGAACTTCTATGTTGCTCAGAGCGGGAAACGGCACGGACTTGAGTTGCTGGTCTTCTCTGATCGACGTTCTCTTGGCGGGAATCTTCGGCACGGACTTGAGTTGCTGGTCTTCTCTGATCGAGGTCCTCTTGGCGGGAATCTTCGGCCAAAGGACCATTAAGGTTCTCCAGCTCCTTCTCGATGGCTTTCGCTGTTGCATCCCTCAGTCGCTGCAGCTTCCTCAGTCTCCTTTCGCTAGACCCAGGAATCCATCTCGAAGTCGCCGACACTATAACCCATTTTAATCCTTCCCAGACCACCAATCCTCCTATTATCGCCAAAAACACCAAAAGCCAGCCAATCATATCCCAATCCAGCTGAATGCCCTTCTTCTCTGCCTCCTCCTCTATTGCAGTCATGGAGGTTCGTGCCTCCGTCGTCAACACCAACAAGCAGCAAATTGTAGCCACCAAAACCTTCGCAGCTATATTGCTTCGTGGTGCTTGTAGAGACCCTCGGGTAGGACACTGCAGCCCCCATAAGCACAGGAGATCCACAATCCTTTGTCCTGTCAGGGCCTTTGTTAATAAGTCTGCCAACTGGACCTTCCCCGCACAATGGCGGGTGACCACATAGCCAGATTGCAGCTGTTCGAAGAGCCAATTCGCCTTGATTCGTAGGTGCCTGGTTCGCCATGAACTACCACCACTCGCGATGGCTAATGCTGCTGTGCTGTCGGACCTCACTTCCCTCTTGGTGACTGTAATATCGATGTCCTGTAGTAAGGCCTCTACGCCCAACATCCCGACGGTGCCGTTGAGGATAGCGATCAGCTCACTCTCCCCTGTGGATAGGGATACCAGTGATTGTCGGCCCGAGCGCCATAATATTGGAGTGCCAGCCCACATCACAGCCCAGCCTTCATGTGACCGGCCCCCTTCCGGGGCAAACGCAGCATCGCAGTACATTGCCAGCTGACCGTCATCAAAGAAGATGCTCAACCTGTAGCTCCTTGTTCTTACCAGGTAGCCATGTGCTCTGGTTCCCAGTTGAATAGCCCGACGAGGTGCCCGGCATGATAGCGACGCCATTAGCGATGACAAATAGGCAAGGTCAGGTCGAGTACGTTGGCTGAGCCATAAAATTTCTCCCGTCAACTGCTGGGCATATCGAATTTGCTCAGGTGTTCCCTGCTCGTCCTCGTCCTGCGTCATGAAAACTGCCTGTTCCTTTGCAACAGGTACTCGGGCCGTATGTACATTCTCCACCCCATGGCTTCGTAGTAGCTCTTGCACGTATCCTTCTTGTGAGAGACTCAGGGAATTGTCGTCTTCATAATGCAGTTCCATTCCCAAAAATCTAAGATCCACATCCCGTTGTAACAATCGCAGATCAGATGTGTCCCAAAGCTTTTGGATCTCCCTTGTCAGCTCACGAATGACATGCTCAGCGCCACACAGAAGAAAATCATCCACGTAAATCAGCACGATTCCTTGCACTTGCTGATGGTCGTCACGTACAGTCCACCAACTGGTAATTGCCCTTCCCTGTTGCAAACTCCAAATGGCATCAGCAATCGTTACAGTGACCTTTGCCAATTGCTTGTCACGATGAGCTCCCCATAGCTTCGGTGCTTCCTTCAATCCGTAGAGCGCCCGAGTTAGGGCCCACAACTCCCAAGCACTCGTAATCCCCAGTTTTTCCAACAGCTTGGGAGGACTGACTAAGATCACTGGGTCGCTCTTGGTCTCGCCAATCGGAGTTTTGAGGAATGCGGTCACGATGTCGATGATCCCGACAGCCCAGGAATTCTTGACCGTAAGGGCCAACGCAGCCCTTACAGCCTCAGCAGGAGCAGCTTCAGTGTAGACAGACTCACACTCATTCGTGGCCATGTTTCCACACACCACCAGGCGCGCCTTTCTCTTGAACCATGTAGTTGGGTCACTGGCCACGGCATCATCTCTTGGCTTAACAGTGAACACGAACTTTGTTGGTAGTCGCTGCACACCAGGTTTCCGAAACCAATGCTCCCTTTCAGGCGTCCCAACCATCAGCCTCTGGATCGCGACCGACACACTCTTCACCTCCTTTCTAATAGCTGGTTCCCAAACTTGCAAGTTCGCCAGGACCTCGGACGGATGAGCAGTATAGGTCACTTCCAGCGGCCCTGTCAGGGATGCGAGAACTTCTTCTATGTTTCTCGTGTAGTTCACCTCGATCTTCTGAACCATCGGAGGCCTCGTTTCCTGCGAAGTGAGCAGCTCATCGATGCAGACTCTTCCTTCCGGAAGTTCCAGAAAGCAATCACCATCATCACCACTCAACACATGCAGGTTAGGCTCCATGCTCTGCATCTTCGGCTCCACTGGTTCGTTGGCTTCTGGAAACTGGAAAATAGGCACCACGAAACCCAGCTCTTCCAACTGTCCGATATCAGAGTAGGTCATCTTTCCCAGGCATTCAGGGGTGTATCCTATGAGGACAACTCGCTCTCCAGTCCAAGGCAGAACCTGGTGTTTCCGTCGAGGTGAGAAGGTATTGCAAAGGTCAGGTCGTAATGGTAGGACATGTCCAAACAGCTCTCGACCCTCATTGTCCTTAACTGTCGTGACGGCTCCCTTCACCACATCCCCCCGACTTAACTCCACCCAAAGTTCTCCTCCTCGACTCGGACAAACAATCGGCACGGCATAGTTGTAGGAGGCCTCAGCATTGTTCTGGTCTTGGTGTAGCTCCTTTTCCACGTTGCGAGAAACCCACATGGCAGTAAAGGTGGCAGCTGGTTCGGCTTCCCTAAGGATTCGAGCAAGGACCTGTGTCACCTCTGGAAACTCCTGCTGGCCCTTCATCATTCCAACCACACCACCATGTCGGTACATTCCGAACTTCCTAGAGTCAAAGAATCCAAGCAACGCCAATTCTCCAACTAGATCCTTCGCCTCCTTTACATCCCAGTGCTCAAGCAATCGGGTTGCCTGTTGTCGGGCATGGTCTGCGATGTCGCCAGGTGTCGGGTCTTGTACGCACAGCGTCCGGACCACAGGTGGCTTCTTTCCAATGACTCTCCTCCTGGATGACGGGTGCGGCTCCTCAGCTTCCAATTCCTGTTCAGGTACTCCTGGATCATGTAGGTGGGGTCGAACATGCAATGTGAAGAAACCCCCCTTTATCGTCTGGCCCTCCATCTCCAGGAGGTATGTACACCAGGTGACCATCATCAATCAAGCCGCTCAGACCCACATAGTGACCCGACGTCCATTTGGATTCCAAAGCTTCTGCCTTTCTTCGTGGTCCCTTCGCAGTGAATGGCCGCTTCTTCATGTGGACTCGGGAACCATAGGGCGCTATGAGCTTCGACTTCCATCCCAAGGTCTTGGCTCTTTGCTCCGCCGCAGCTGACTCAATCGCCGTCGGCCACAACTCCAGCGGTAGTCCTCCTCCTCGAAGAAGGGCTCTCGCCCTGTCCTTTATCCATCGAACGGTCCGCTCTGCCACCCCATTTGATTGTGGCTCGCCAGGCTCGCTCCAAGTGGCTCTAACTCCTTGATTCCTCAACCATGCTCGGAAATTTGCAGAAAAGAACTCTCCTCTGTCTGCATGAAACCTCATCACTGGCATTCCAAGACTCGCAATGTAGAGCATCACATCCTGCATGGCGGCTCGGATCGTGGAGTTCTTATTGTCCAGAAGGGCTGTTGAAAAGACCAGGTAGCTCATCTCTGGTGGAAGACAATCGCCGGTTTCCATTACCTTATTTGCCTGGTCCGCTTGCGGCTCCTCCTCCTCACTCTCCGGGTCAATGAGCACAGATTTGCGGGGTTCCTCCTCCTCTTCCTCCTCCTCTGACAACACATGTAACTCGCCCATCTCTTGCCGAGGTTGAGGTCCTTCT